AAATTTTGGAATTTTCACAGCGCTAATTTTGTTATTAAAATCGCCGATTGTTTTCGTCAATGTGACTGTTATTTAGACCGTAATCATTTTTATTTCGGCGTTTATTCTCCCTAAATCACAAGTTTCCGACGACATTATATGTCTTGTGCCACGAGGAAGATGAAAATTCCTTTTTTTTGTTTTCGCACGGGACTACGCCACTGCTTGTAATACGATTGCAAATAGTTACGTTATCGAAATGAATTACGCAAAATGCGTGCGTCTCGCCTAGATTCGAGATCAGACATGAAATAAATTACGTCTTAATGTGTTTTAAGTTGTGCAATGAATTATGGAAAAGTTCTTTGTTTACAACGTCGCAAAAAAATAGTATGAAAAACAAGCGGATTCATTCGTAGTTTACAAAAAACATTGTTCAATTTAATTAAACGATGTTGCAAACAATTGTAGCTGTGTATTTGAACGCAAATCTTGCTTATCTCTCTCGGCAATTTGTAGGTTTCATTTTGTTGGTCCTGATTGGTATAGCTATTTGTCCTTTCATTTTGTCCGCTCAGTATCAGCTTATTCAAGTAAATTTGATTGACTCCAACATCTTAGTTATTACAAGCTTGTAATAATGGCAACAGTTTATTCTATTTAATTCAGAAAAATAACGTTTTTGGAGAGTGTTCTATATTAATTCATCAGTTCATTTTGACAGAATTTGTCATATATATGTCACATGTTTCACCTATGTTGAGATTGAGAATAAAGTTATCCAAACACTGGTGCAGTATTTTTTTGGTTCTGTTAATTTAGTTTAAACGATATTCGAAATGTTTTTCAGTGTTATTCTAGAATAGTTTAGTATTCGAATACGGGCATCCCTAAATTCAGTACCATTTGACCAGCTGGCCCTGGTAACCATACATTGTAATATTATGACTTTAGAACTGCGAATGCTACTTCTGTATTGAACAATTGCCAAGAAGCAGTGAAGTGATGGCGTATATTCCGGGGAATTTTCGATTCCGTTTCAATTATATGTACAAAAATATGTTGAAAAAGAAAATCACGGTTTAAAAAATTTACAGGAGAAAACATCCATCGCCATTCTCTGCAAGGTAATTATTAAAATGACGACGATGGTATTATTTCACAAAAAATTATTACCCTTGTTTGAAGAATAGTTTTTTAATTAATATCATATCGAACACTTCAGGATAGGGTAGTTAGTATTTACATATTTATCAGCGGTTACGTGAACCAAACTGCGCGGCGGGAAGTCCAGCAATCCTCTCGCACATAACTATCCTCGAATGGAATTCGCGGTGGAATACGTGAGACAATTTGTTAAATTCTTCCGAAATTTGACAGAACTTCTTGTTTTTCACTTTTATGCGTAATTCGAGAAACGCATTGTCCAATAGGTTAATCAGCATTTGATGAATCGGCCGGAATGTGGGCAGATACATCGGCAGCAAAAATAGTTCTGGAAACTACGAAACTAGAAGATAAGATTTACATATTTATTCTATCCTTGCGTGCCGAGATGGCCTATGAACCTCTTCTCACAATATTTCACGGGTGTTCAATAGGGGTGGCGTCTTTTGGATGAATAAGTGCGAATCCTATCCCGATAGTTTGTTCCCACGGCTGTTCCGGCTAGTTGTCTGATTTCGTCCCACCTGATTGGTGAACTCAACATCGAACTACGGCAAGCAAAATTCATTGCCACAAAATAGATGCTTTTATCAGAACAAGAGAGCTATGCTCAAATATATGGACACGTTTGAAGTAAATGAAAGCAATAGCTTTCTAAAGAAAATTTTTATCTTCAAGCACTGAAAATTTCAGAGCAATTGGTCCAGTATGGATGTCTCCCCGGGTATACATTTCCTCATTTACTGTCGTAACATTGGCCAATCAGCATAAATGCAACATTTGACGTAACAATAAACGTTTAGAGCACTCAGATACTTTTGCCATTCAGACAGTCTTTCGTGGTAGTGAATATTACCTCGTTTTGGCCTTTTTCGCGGGCCTGTTAGTTTTTAGTGGTGTTTTGGTAAATATAAGTCCTAATCAAATAACTCAATAATCATTTTCCTTTGTCAAAGTTTTGTTTTAAATGCAGTAATCAAAACTTAATCTATAAATAGCTGTGATAGACGAAGCCAAACTTCCATAGGCACATTTAAATGTAAGGTTGTTGAATATATTGAATTAAAATAGTTTGAAACATATAAACCAGTTTATATAGGCGCCAACTCGCAAAACCATAAAGTTATAAAGAGTATAAAGCGGAAGAATTTTGCTGGGATCGAAAGTCGGGGAAACATTCACTAGGTAGTTGTTTGCATTGTTATTATAAATTGGTATTATTCTACTAAGTAGACAATTGTGTTGTTTGGTAGCAATGCGAGGTTAGCAGTAACCGTGTGGAATTGCTTGATAAAGACAGATGATGAGATTTTTCCATTCAAAATTAAATGGTTAGGGTGCTGTTACATTTGTTAAGCATCTTTGATTAAATTCAAAATTTAGCGGGGTTAAAAATTTCAAAAGTAGTTTTAGTCACAAATAATGTTGACAAACTGGTTACTGAAGAATACTCCAAAAAAAGGCGAGAGCGGAAGCTACAAAGGAGAAATTAAGTGAGAACAGAACACCGCATGCACCTTCAAACATCTTTGCGTCTTCAAGCAGTGGGGATCAACGCCCGACAAAGGACTCATCTTCTCACCCTCATCGGATAGAAATACATTACTCAAACCATCTTTATAAGCGGAAGTACAGCGAAGAATTTATAAAGCTTGGTTTCACGTGTGTTCTTATAAATGATGAGTCACGTCCTCAATGTGTTGTTTGTTCCGATGTTCTTGCCTACAAGAGCCTGAAAGCAGTGAAACTAAAACGCCATCTTGCAGCAGAGCATTCAAAATTCATTGACAAACCAATACATTATTTCCGCCGATTAGAAAAAGGATTGTCAAGCGAAAAGAAAGCAATGACAAAATATCTAAGCGAATAACAAGATCGACGCTTTCAACAAGAAAATTCAACACTGGACTACCCGAGTCGAAAATGGAAGAATGGATATGTTTACTGAGCTGAACGATTTTCTCGAAGAAAACGAGTTCAGTCAAAACGTTGTGAAACAGTCCATAATCAGTCATCTTCATGATCTTTCGAAGTGGTTTAATGAATATTTTCCCGAAAACACAACACCACAGTAACACGACTTGATATTATCACGTTATTATCACCCCTGCCATAATCAGTCATCTTCATGATCTTTCGAAGTGGTTTAATGAATATTTTCCCGAAAACACAACACCACAGTAACACGACTTGATATTATCACGTTTCACAGTATCAAATATACAACATCTATCATCAGATTTGTCTGAAGCATTGGATGACTTGTCAAGTGATCGCGGGTTGAAGATCGCATTTGATGGCAAAAGAAGTTTGGCTGAATTTTGGATTTCAGTTGCAAAGGAATATCCGGAGTTATCAGCTGCTGCAATGAATGGTCTGTTGTCATTCGGAACTACCTACTTATGTGAAAAGACCTTTTCTGCGTTTTCATACATAAAAAAACAAATACAGATCAGAGCTAAAAGTAGAAGATCTTCCAGTTGCTGTCTCCCAAATTGAACGTCGAATTTATATGTTCTAATAATTCGCATTAGTCATAATAAATGCTATTATTCACGATTTTATGTGATAAGTTCCATATAATTTTGTAGAAAATTGCTAGTGTCAATAATAGTCTCAAAATCAATAACTAATTACATGTTTACCAAATGCTTGGGTCGCGAGAAATTGGAAAAATTTTTTTGGATCGCACTGAAAAGTAGTTGCGGACCCCTGCCGTACGGTACCTTGCCAGTAGCCAACTGCAGTACCTGTTGCTGCATGCATGTAGGCCTGCTATTCGATCGTGGAACGGTTCTTCTCTGGCATATAAAAACTCAATTCAATTTACTCTTATCAAAATTAATAAATACGTTAGGCTAAATTTGCAAGAAACCCTACATTACTGCAATAGTAAAATCGCGAAAGGAATGAGTCAATTTCACTGTGGTACGTTAACTTACCGCAGTGCCGTATCTGCCAGACGCTTCTTCTTCGCAAAACCAACTAATTCGATTTACCACGGTATTACAACAGCAGATACCACAGTCTACAAATATATTCACAGCAAACGAAGCAGTGCAGTCGGTTTACCGTACCTTTAGCATCACCCGCAACATAAAAAAAACTTACAATTTTTAAGCAGCGAATATCAGAATCCGCCTTCACGCCGACGTTCGATGGCACGTGATCATGCGTCCGCAGAACGTTCGATGACGTCATAGCAAACAAAACTCAGAGCTAACAGAAATATTTGAAATAAATAAGAGCAATAGCCTTCTGGAGAAAAAAATCAAACTTTAACGACTGAAAATTTCAAAGCAATTGGTCCAGTATTCGAAGAGAAAGGCGATTTAATAATGATGGTGACGAAGAATAATAACAATAAGAAGAGTGCCAGCATAAAATGCAAAACGATCGTTATGTCCACTACGTGTCCAAATTTTCTTGTTTATTTGTGTAACAACGACTAATCAGCAAAAAGTCAACGATGACGTAACAATAGTAAAGTAAATGGCTTTGAGCAGTGAATCGGTTTGCAGGTGTTAACTCTCCAAAACACTCGCAAAATAAACATCCGAAATTTTGCTATAATATGGTATAGGAAGAATTTTTCTGGGGTCGAGGAAACATCCATAGGATGCATGGGTGGGGTGTGATATTTGAATCCACGCTATCACGGCCAAGATATAAAGAAAAAATTGATAAAGCCGAATCTGATGAGTTCCCTAAAAAAAATTTTATTTTCGTTTTTATCATTCAGGCATCACCTTTATGCTAATTATGGATATAAACTTATACTGCCCATTCTAAACCTTCCCTCTCGGATAAATATAGAATTCTATCTGATAGTTCTAACCTGCCACAAAGAGAACTTTTGATATTTTTAAAATCTATTGAATCAATTCACAAAAACCACAACAATTCTTTTTAACTTAATCATTAAACAACAAAAAATGAAAAAAAAAATGTTGGGTAATATTTCCATTATTGTAATTTTCAATATACGATTTTAACCCAGAAGGTCGTACTTCTGGATGGGAATTAACAGAAAGTATACAGTATAAATTTTAGGTTAGAAATCATGCATTTGAGTCATATTAGTAATCAAAATACTTACAATTTTTTGAAATTGAGTCACTGCATCTTTGGAGTTGAACCAAAAACAGTCACACAATGAACAACAGTGTTGCATGCACGTTGTCAGAGTATGATAAAAATCAGGCATCCATTAAATATAAGCGAAGCTTTGGTCATGTCAATAATCAGGCAGTTGGAATTCAGTATATTAAATAATCAGAAAATTATCCCCTTCACCATGCACGACTTGAAAGAAAATAGAGATTGAAAAGTAAATATTAGCCGACTAAATGTTATACCGAATAAAACTTCGAAACTCATTTTAAATCAAAGGAGTACACGGTCCTCCATTTTATCCTTTGTTAATGATATCAATGCGATATTTATTACATTGAAATCATAGGAATAGCTAACAAGATATATTTAAAAAACCTTGAATCCAAGCAATAATAACGAAAAAATATCTCCGAACAAAATACACACTTTCTCGTGGTATTCAACTGAAATGGTAGTAAATAACTGGGAATATAATTATCTGATACACACTTGAAGAATCCAGCAAGATACACAAAACAATAATTAATCTGAAACTAACAATAATAAACGATATAATAGCAACATTTATGGCAGAGATAATAAATAGGAAACTGATAACACAACCCAATAAATTTGGCGATCCAGAAGTGTATGTACCAATATGGAGGTAACTAATTTTGTTTGCCTACTTTACATCAAGTTGTGTAAAGGGACTGAAACCTATGGGCAGGGGGTATATTCACTTAGCTAACACAGACAGTCCCCGAACTCTTAAAATAACTAAATATTCTCAGTTTAACCGGAAAGCTTAAAGAAAACCGGAATAAAATTATGGCCTAACCTGGTACATATACTACGGGAGTACCTTAAATTTAGCATCACTACATTAATTGAAGTGTCATCAATTTAAACAAGAATAGCCTGATGACTGTACGCAGCTCACAGCAAAATGAAATTGGAAAATCAAAAATCATCCAAATATGTTTTATGTTGTAAAAATCCTATAAATATTGCAAACCTGGATATGGTTTGGAATATTTTGTCATGATAAATTGCTCATGGAAACACCAGAAACGTTATTTCAAAGGAAGTTACAGCCGCCATTGTGGTGCTTAAAGTTACAGGAGGAAATGGCAATCAGCAACTCTATTATTGTCAAAGTAGCAGCATCCCCTGATCTTGTCAATTTTTCCTCCTGACAAACATGGCAAGCAGGACAATGTGTGTATCAGTATAGTTAATAAAACTCTCACATTTGTGTGATAACCATAATTTTTACACATAAAACTTTTTCGATAGGATATGGTAGATTCAATATTTATGTTGATTGTATGAGCATAATCAAATAAAAAGAGCACTAAATTCTAATTAGACCTCCTATATCATAAATGAGGGCGCTCCAGAAGTGTGTGTACCAATATGGAGATAACTTTACATCAAGTTGTGTAATGGGACTGAAACCTATGGGGGGTTGGGGGGTATATTCATTTGGCTAACACAGACAGTCCCCGAACTCGTAATAGAACTAAAATAAGGAAAATAAAATTATGGCCTAACCCTAACCTGGTACACATACTACGGCACTACGGGAGTACCTAAATGAGGCATAAAAACACTTCAGCCTGGCATAATGGCGACTAACGTATACGTGAACCGATAAATAGCTATCTAGAACAATTACACATCACGGTTGTTTTCAAGCTTACAATAATGTTGACATGGACAATAATAATAAATATTTAACAGCTTTGCCACATATTATTTTATGTCATTTTATGACAACTCAGAGGAAAAAGATAACAAGTGATTAGTTTGCAAACTGGAGATTGTTTGGGGTAGCCTTTGGAAAATTGTATTGCAGCAAGGATTTGTTATCTGACTTTATATGAGAAAATATTTAGGCATTTTGATTACAACTTTCCCTCGCTCATTTATAATTCGTTGTCTTTCTGAAGACTTTCAAAATGCATTGGGTTTAAATTATCACACAACCAATCCTAGTGATGAGTGACCTTCTAATATATTTCCCCAGAGTGCTCTTTCTTAGTTTTAATTTGTACAATTAAAATACAATTAACGACTCGACTTGTTCAAAAGGGTGTTCTTCAATCATCCTTGTTTTTCTCTTTTTCTTCGGCTGTGTCCTCTTCGTCTGAATAATCCGTCGGTTCCTCTCCGTCTTTGAGTAGTTTTCCAACAAACTCATATTTTTCTAAATTAAACAAGTAAACTTGTACAAACATACAAAGTCATGTGCAAAATGGTGAAATAAGTACATTTATCCAAATTAATAGAAAAAATAACCAGCCATATTTTTAAATATCAGTGCTCATATTTATTGTGTAATACAGCGGTTCCCAAACTCTTTGTTCGTGCGCCGTTAAATTATCAGGGAAAAGCTCGCAGCGCATTTTGGCAAAAACAAAATTGCTGCCTTTAAATAAAACCACTTAGAAACCGCTGCTGTAATAGATAATAATATTTCAATGCTCCCAGGAACAGACAGGAAAACCGATATTATCGATATTTTACAGAATACGTTATACATATTCAATGTCATTTGCCCAACTTTTAGGCGTGAGCATTGTATTGTAACAAGGAAACTCAGGTAAAATTCTCTATCGATATAATTTTCAGGATGTTTTTTGCTCCAATAATTTGAGTTTATTTTGATTTAATTACATTGGAAATATCAGTAATCACTAATCATCCACAGAAATTGTGAATCGTATATCAATATTGTTAAATGGGTATAGCACTGATTTAACATTTGACATAACTGTAAATCTTCACTGCAAATCACATGATTGCACAAATGTTACATTGAAAAATTATTGAAGATTGCAGACTGTGTGCAGATGCTGGCTAAGCACATTTTCATTATGTGGTCAGTTTGCCCCAGTTACTAAAGCAAATATAGGTTAGCATGACAGTGAACAAACATACCTTGTGAAAACATAAGATGACTTAACAAAAATCTTACATACTGCACTTGGAATGAATGGTAATGAAAGTTTGTGGAGTTAGAAGTGGTTGTTAAATTTCTGTCAGCAGTTTCTCCATTAGTAGGACAAACAACTTAGCGGCTAAAGTCATAAACTAACCTTTTAGTTAGCCTATGATCATGTTTGAAATTATCAAAAATATGAAGAAAATGTAGTGCGAATGCAAAACCTACCCAAAAATTGCATCTCCCATTCTCTAACGCTTTCTAAGTCAGCACTGCCCAGATCAGCTAAATCATCATATTCATCTTTTATAACATCTTTATCCAACCTGAATTGAGCTAATCCACGAGATGCGTCATGTCCAGCAAATATTCCATACGCACCACCTAGAATGATTGAGAACTTACTTATTAGAACCGTATGAAAATTCTACCTTGAAGAGCTGTAACTTATATATTCATTTCAAATAATGTAATCAATACTTAACTTCGGACACAAAAAACTAAGCAATATATATCAATTATCAGATCAATCACGAAATTTGCATACACGCGATAAACTTGTATAGCCAATTTGGAAGGAAAAGCAATTAAATGCTTTAAAGATAATGATTAATGGGTGAAAAAAATGTAGCAATGTTATAATATTTCTAGCGAACACCATTCTCATATTACAGAAATATATATATTCTTCTGATATTTCAAAATCACCTGAAATCTCTGATACAAAACATTAATTCATCACATTGATAATAAGAGTAACAAAATCCTTCTATGGCTCAAAAGGACACATTTTTACTCAAATTTCATTTTGGAAATCCAATTACTGGAAAGGCTTATAAAATATGATACATCAACAAATCCAAGTCCATAACGTATAAAATACTTGCAATAACAGAAGTTAACAAGCAATCATTTTACCTGGCCCATAAAAGTTTTTCCCACGATTGGTAACATCAAAAACCTTCCCATTGACAGCAATGAGAATTCTTTCATTTTTCACTCCATCATATTCACTCAGCTGGGCAACAGTCAAATCTCTTTTTTTCATTGGAGGAAGACCGGTGTCGACTGGCTCGTGTTGTTCATCCTGTGAAAGAGAATCATGATAAAGACTTTAATATTCCATAGTAAGATGGGAGCGGTAGAGAGGAAAGCTGACTAGATGACTCAATCATATGTGGAAACGAGGCCTCTCAATCCGTATCGGATATGAAAATATTTAACCAGTTACTTGTTTCAGGTGGATGGATTGGTGGTGGAGGAAGCCCTAACTGCCCAACGGTGATGTGAATCACCCTACGGCAATTCTACCCAACAATTTTCTCGCAAATATCTATCCCCAACAAGATCTGAAGTCCAATGCCAAGTATCTTCCTAATGCTAATCATGAGGCACCAACCGCCTAGCATGTATAAATATATTAACTAAATATCTACAAAGAAATCTACCCCAGAAGTATGTGTACCAATATGGAGGTGACTAATTTTGTTCGCCTACTTTATATCAAGTTGTGTTAAACGGACTGAATCCTATGGGCAGGGGTATATTCACTTGGCTAAAACAGGCAGTCCATGAACTCGTAATGGAAGTATAATAAGGAAAATCGGGATAAAATTATAGCCTAACACTACACACACTACCAGAGTACCAAATTAAGTGTATTATTATGACAGATTTTCATAGACCAAATTTTCTAATCCTGGATTAGGGAGACAATATCTTTTGAGCCTAGAATTTTTGTCAGAATATTGAGAATTGGCCAAAGATGATTATGACACAATTTGAATACTGTTTGTATAAATTGGGCTGTCTTCAACAAAGGACAATTCAAAGTCAATGAATAGGCCTATACAAAAAGTTTGTTTTGGAAATGCATGTAAGTTGCGAATAAACAGTAATTTGAATGATTTTCTAATTTTTTGTAGTTTTAAGAAATAATATAAAAGTCCTATTTGTTCCGTGGTGCATTTCTCAATCTGCATAGGCAAGAATTTTATAACTTGAATCTTTTTGGTTTCCAAGACTTTAATTAAACTCTCAGCTGTTGATATTGTGATGGTATTTTTCTAATGGTATTACGACTTTTTATTGTCATTCAAAATACAGATATTACCTCTTCGTCGTTCGATTTCTTGATTTTGTACAGCAAGTAGGCACAAATGGATAGTAGAAATAGATTGAGAGGATTCGTAAAGATATTGACGAGAAATCCGCCAGAAACATCTTCCGATTTGGGTATATCAGCATTTGAGTCCATTATCGTTGGCAGTTAAGTAAGGTTTGTAGTAAAAGTTAGAACCTTCAATATCACTGTAATAAATAACATTAAATATGACAAATCATGGTTCTTATTATTTAATAAAAATAATTGCAAAACAGCGACAATGTTGAAAAATACAGACTAACTAATAACTGAATAATATTCTGAAGAATGAAGATAGTGACATGGCAGACAGAGACTTAGTACAATTCAACAAAGCTTTACTCAATAAAGTATTTACAACTTTACAGGCTATAGCTGGTAGACCGCTATTCTTATAGTGAAAAGGTTAGTTTGTTAAATGGACCACGTCATACAAGCATAACTAAATGCTCTATTAAACCGTAAACCTGTAAACTGTCAAACTGAAAATGTCAAGAAGTCTAAACGCTGTGTGATGAACTTCGTATGAAATATAAAACACCAAATCTTTAAATACAGACATAAACCCATATCTGGAACTTGGAAGGAGAAATCTGGAAATAAATAGGCCTACGTTACCATGTAGGTTAGTTTCTTGATTTTCTGAAATGGAGAAAATCATAATATCAGAATATGCACTATCCTAGGACTGTAGGAGTCCTGGCGTCTAAAAGCTAATATCTAAATATGAAAATTCTATCTAATTCAGTTATTGAAATTGTACAGTACGGTATACGTTTATAATTCATCATGCTAATAAGTACAGAAGTAGGATACCAGTACCGTACAGTTCTACAGCACTGACAAAACGTCCCGACGTCACGCGACTAAATGCAGAAATGTACCTATTACAGAAGTCAGGAAGTTATGAATCTGTTAAAGTGAAGGTACTTCGTGCTTAGTTTAGTACAAGTTTAAATAATATCCATACAATCATACGGTATTACAGCAATTTCGGGAAGATTTTCATTAAACAAGAAACAAAAACAGCAACCCAGCTCAAGCAAGAAAAATCGCCAAGACCATGATCATGATGTGAAGCGTTAGCGTTAACGGTGCGTCAGCATAAAGGTCGTAAGGATATTCAGAGCTAAATTTGGCGAATGTTGATTAACTTTGTGGCGAATGGATCTCCGCCGAATTAGTACTGTATTGGATTTTTTTAATTTTACAGCAGTACCGGTTTCCTTGCATCTCTCACCTTTGACATAATGCAGGGTAAATAAATTTTAGTATTTTAAATAACCCATTGAATTCTGAGATAAAATTCACCCTGTGTGCACTGAAACATGAGATGAAAAGGACGAAAGTCCCACATGATTTCTAATCATAAACATAGCATTTGGATAGGTTTACGCATTCACCTGGATTTATGCTAGACGCATGAATAGTTGCAAAGCCATAGATTATATTCGCCCCTATTACTAACGAATTGACAAATACGTTTATTGGAAAAAATTGATCTCAGCCCTGTTGCATTTGGAATTGTTTGACTTGTGACCATGTACTGTATATATACCCATTGGATTGACGTGACCCGGCTTTTTCTTCTTCCATTCACGAGCCGCTAACTCTTATTGACTTCCACATTAGAGATGGATCTGGATTTTGCATGAGTTAGTGTACATATATTAATAACTGATTTTTTTTTGCCGTGTAGGGATCTTGTACGCAGCAATTACTGGGTCATTAAACTTTTCCCAGTTGACGATATAGCAAAGTGAGCAGTGGCGTAGCATCCACTCCCGCAACCCCCGCGGTCGCGGGAGGCCCACAGCGCAAAGGGGCCCAAGCGGTTAGAATTTAGAAATTTAAGCAGCAAAATCAAAAGCTGCATTACAAAACCAGTAATGCACACCTTATAACGTTGATGTTAGTTCTGCTCAAATCGTTTTGTTACGTAACAATGACAGGGAGTCGTCGATTTTCGGCGTCCTGTGTTTTGATCGCACCGGCAAAATGACGAAGGTTGTCAGAATGATGTCGAAATCAAAACCTCTCAGTGGCGTACAATAACGCAGAAAAATGGCAGAAGAGGAAAAACGTATGAAAAAAATTGAAGTAACCAAGATTTTAGGTTACCATTGCCTTTTTATAGCGACATGTTATGCTTATTGACGAAATAAAAAAAGCTATGTTTTTAGCTTATGTCCGAGAGTTCTAGGGTCATTTCCATAAAATATTTTTTTTGTGGGAGGGGGGGGGGGGGCACGAGCAGTGGCGTATCTAGAGTGTGGCAGCCATGGGCGCCGTTTGGCCAGGGGCGCAAAAGCGGCGGAATATTTCAATTCTACAATGTTTCAATAAAATAATTTCAAATTGGGAATAATTGAAACTCGTATTTTTACATGAATAGTAACGTACAAGTATCTCATTTCAACAACAGTCGTTAATAATTGTTAGTCAATGATCAAAGGGGCGCATTTTCAAACTTTGCCATGGGCGCTATTTTACCTAGATACGCCACTGCCCACGAGTCTTGCTACGCCACTGAAAGTGAGCGGTAGCCTCCAAAAATACCGAGTAGGCAGTCCATTGAGCTGCAACGGCACAGACGCTCGCAAAACGTTTTCTGGCACCTTGGCGTTTCACTGCAATTTTAAACTCGGATGTTTTTGAATTCACGTTATTACCGAATATGCTTGCTTATAACTGCAATTTTAGGGGTTGTGTAAAAAATTTTTTATGAAAATTACATTTGTTAATTTTAATAGCTAAGACACAGTTGACATTAGCCGATGTTACTAAAGTTATACCTATGCCGTGTGCAGGATCCATTGAACTCGACTGAACTCAAATTCTTAATCATATTGCAATCTAAAAAAAAATCAGTTTTCGACCCTTACTGATAGCAAAACATATACCGCAACTACAAACTCTTAACCACCATTTTTTCCCTGGGATATACTCCCATCAGTGATAAACAATTGAAACAGTGGTTCCCAACCTTTTATGGCTCGTGGCACCATTCCGGGGGTTTTCAGCACTCATAGCCACCCTGTTCATCATTCCAGTGGTAGCTAAAGTATTATTTAGATTGTTAAATTCGAAATCCCATTATGTTTAAACAATTTATAACCAACAAGTTGAAAACACCTCCTGAAATAACCTTATCAAGCAATGAAACTAGGAAGAACAAGAAGTTTTCTTATGGAAGGAAAAGTAAAATCAGTTTTCAGACTGCATTGTGGCCCCCTCGGTGGGCAACGGGCCCACGGTTGAGAAACGCTGCATTGAAACATGAAACGAGAATATCGGTCAGAGACCGAAGACTTATCGATCGAAAGTTAGGGGATCCCCCAAAACAGCGCTCCTCCATAGTGACACCTTGTGTCCCATCACTAATTAATTAATAACTCGCTAATTATACGACATAATTCGCCCAAAATCAATAGGCTTCTGGTTCGAGATAAGATGAATGCACATGCAAAATCTGGAGCAGATTCAATCTCGCTTTCGTGAGATATCGCGTGCACCCAACAGACAGACAAATACCTATCAACATAATTACCGATTAAAATCGATAAGTAATAACAGAATCATTTTTACACTGTGTATTTATTAATAAAGATTACAAGGATCCTAATGATCATCGATAGCCAAAGACAACATGAAAAACGCCCTTGAGAAAACAGGAATGAATTTCCTTTCCTGGGGTCGCAACGTGAATACGGCACTTTAGAAGGGAGGGTTATCATAGGGATAACAAATGACCTATGGCAACGTAAAAATAAACTGGTGTTACTGATACAAAACTTGGCATCGAGATTAACGAAATTACATGACAATTAGTTAGAAATTATGCTTCGTCTCACATAAATGGAAGTAGAAAACATCACATAAAAGGCGGACGCAAAACTGCGTCGGGCGATAATCAATCAACGAGAGAAAAAAATCAATAAGAAAATTGACATAAAGACGACTACAACCATCAAATAAGTTTCAGTGCATTAGTTTTTTCTTTTTGTAAAATAGTGCTGATTCGAAACAACCGACCAATAATTTTTCAACAAGAGGCGAGCGACTATCACAAAAAATACGAAAAAGAAACTTCGAGAAACGCACATTTGAAAACCATTTTCTGTCCACATTCAAAAAAATGTATAGTAAGTAATGACGAGCAAACGGCAACCACAAATATTGTCTCTTATGAGAAAGTTCACAAAAATATCATTATCGAGTGATAAAAAAATAAAGTAGACACGCAAAAAATTAAGGATGCAAAGATCCACGCAAAAGCTTTCTGCATTTAACAAGTTCAATACAACATCACCTCGTACTTTGTTCAGTTCCGACTCTGATAACTACGAAAACGAGCACCAGCAAATGCTTAACAATAAGCCACCTACATCGTAATTCACGAACACTTCAAACAATGTCAATCATATATCGTAACAGCGAAAAATCAAAATAAGCATTAAAAAAAGATCGCAGTCAGAAATTTTTGTAAAAAATGACAAGCCCAAAAAGCGTGATCTGCGTGCGAATCGCGCTTTGAGGACATATTCAGTTCGATCGGGTAAGTGACGGTATGTACTATTGCTGATGCTGTTGGGACTCCTTTATCAATTTGTCCATGTTATCTGCCGCACTAATCAACTGATCATTCTGCGCTTTCTTGATCCTGTTGAGAACGTATTCGCGACGTTGTTTCCACTCTTCCAATTCTTCAATGCTATGAGCATTACGACATTTATTATCAACTGGAGCGACACAATCATACTCGCATATATTTTTCAAGTGCCTGAAAAACAAAAACAGATTGAATTAAATACCAGTATATCTTATTGATATTATTATTTGTGCTTGACTAGAAGACATTGCGTGCTTAAAAAAAAAAGCTAACATTGTGAAATAATATTAAGACAGACATTGGTTTTCAATGGCTGGATAACGATAAGTTATCATTTTTGTCCCGGGAAAAGGTAAGCCGATATGATGGCTTAATAATATGGCGTACCATGGCATCTTGTCCGGTTAACATTCCATGTTGGATATGAGATTAGTTAGCCAGTTATTTGTTTCAGATGCATTGACGTTGGAGGAAGCCACGTCAGGCCAACTTTGATTCAAAGCTTTTTAAGTGTAAGTTGCAAGGCATTGCCCCACTGTGTTTATATATTTGCTCTTGGGATATAGACACCTCCTTCTCTATCTTCTTGTGTTGTTTTGATTTAGGTCAGAGAACCGAAATAAAATGAATAGTTGTGAATTAAACAAGTTTTAGCAACAAAAAATACAGCACCTTTCACAAATTTCATAATTTCCTCCAGGATTTCTATATTTCCAATTTCCATCGCTATCGGATAAAGCACCGAGACGATGTTTCACAGATAGACAATGTTGATCCCATTGACGTTGGCCGTTACATTCCTTGTTACATAGCCAACAATGATATGCGCTCTGAAAATAAAAGTTAGAAAGATGATGAAAGTGGCCTAGTGGGTAAAACGCTAGATTTACTATGATGTCATCGCAGATATAAATCTTGAGTTCAAATCCCATGAACACCACATCACCCAGGGTATAATAAATCGTAAAGACAATGTCGAACTGAAAAAGTGCGACATCTCACCCAGCATTGGCTAGTTGTGCAAGGCCTAGTTCAGAGAAAAGCTGATATACAAATCATACAGAAAACTTTAAAACCAACAAAGTTCGGCGCTTCAGAAGTATGTGTACCAATACGGAGGTAACTAACTTTGTTCGCCTACTTTACATCAAGTTGTGCAAATCGATTGAAACTTATGGGCAGGGGGTATATATACCTGACTGACACAGACTCGTAATAGAAATAAAATAAGGAAAATCGGAATAAAATTATTGCTTAATCCTAACCTGGTACACACACTAAGGGAGTCACAAAGTTGGGATTAAAAAGAAATTTAAAGCTTTATGAAATTGAAGTAAAATTTTGATATTAAAAATCAAATATATACCTGGGGCAAAAAATCAGTGGGTAACCTTATTGCGTTGGGGTCAATTGTATTCTGCAATGGAAGTACAGCAGGTCTCGTCGCTTTCGGCTGTTTATCTCGATTAAGTGAATCATGAAGTTCTTCAAGATCTTTCACTAAAATTAGAAAATGATAAAAAAAAAAATACCACAATAAACTAACAACCATACCACTGAATAACAAGTCAATCACAACTGGCCAATTTGGCAAAAAAAAAATACACAGAAAAAATGAGTGTTCACTTACTTTTAATTGGCGTGTACTCTGAAGTTTATTTCCACAACTATCTATCTATTGTACATTATAAAATTAGGCATACAGCGACTGAAGCATGAAACAACTTTTTACTTACGACCTTCAAATAACTATTTTAGGGTTTCACACAGAGAAAAGTAATGTTCACTTACATTGATTATCTCTTAGGTAAATCCAAATATCTAATTCTTCCTGAGAATGCGCAAAATTACATTTATTTGAGAACGGACATTTTTTCTGTCGTCTGATATTTTCACAAAGTTCAAATCTCGCTGGCAAACCCTGTAACAAAAATAACATTGGTAAAAAAAATTATCAACAAAAAAAAATGTTACTTTTGCACAATATTACCTTATTTTTCAAATATGGCAAATCTCGTATTTGTGTCCAATCCTTACGAATAGTTTGAACTAAGACTGTTTTTTTGTTTGTCGCCCACGAGTGTTGAGCACGTGCTGTACAGTATTTACGATCTTTTGTTGCTTCGCTGATTTGTCCGTTTTTGTAACAAAGCGAACATATGAATTTCACCTTCCACCTTAAATGATAGTTTAAAAATATATTATAATTTACCATTTTATGAAGATGACCAACGACTGTTTAAGCATACCTGAACATAGGTACTCCTAGATCCGTAGTTTGTGTTATCCCTTGTTCAAGGGTGTTAGTGTTATTGCTTAGCTTTGTAATATATTCACGAGACTGTTCCACAATCTGATCTGGCGTGAGTCTTAAATGAATAATAATAATAAATTAATAATAGCGACATAAAAAAAAGAGACAATTAAATTGTGAAGACAAATACGCCACCGGTTTGAAAGTTGTATTATATTTTCCTAGTCTAGGGGTCAACAACCTGCAATTGAATATAGTACTGCGCCAGTTCTAGCCAGTGAACTGTAATTTACAATATAAGCTTCGCCAAAATACCACAATGTTCAAAAAATAAGAGACCGTATTTGTGTTTAAGCGTGTACGACATAAGATTTTGGGCTTATTCCAGTCATGAACGGAAAATAAACCACCTCGATTTCGATCTTATTTGGTGTACAAAAACAAATGTCAGTTTCAATGAAACCATATATACTTCCGAATGCCATTACAAACGTTACAATGCGTTATATGTACCAAAAAACATAATATTTTGTTTGTGATCACAATAGAGATCTGCAGGTCCAGCGGGGGCAAGATAAAATTTGATTTTGGAATTTAGCGTGACGGTATTTCTCGATGTAACATATAAAGCTCTAAAGCTGGAGACTGTTATTCAATATACTGTAATACATTAACCCGTTATCCGACCCCTAATCTAGTCTTTAAATTAAATATCAATATTTGACAAATTAAAACAAGGAGATGGTAACGTAGATCGTAACTAGTACAAACAAACCCTTTCTTAATCATCAAAGCCCAAACATCACGTTCAACAAGACTGTGAGCAAAATGACAATCTTCCTCTCTGGTGCATTGAAAACGAACTTCATGACGACAAAGAATTGCTTGTTGAGCCGGAACTCGTATTGAAGTATAACGCACAGTTGTATCTCGCAAAATATGAGTCTAAAAACAAAGTTTTTCCAAATACAACTTGTGTAAGAAAAAAGGCATATGATAAACAAAATAATATGGTGGTACTGTGAGCTTTGTGTTATTCAGAATGGAAGTGTGATGCAGCATGATTTACGATAACAAGAGAACGAGAATATCGGTCGGAGACCGAAGACTTATCGATCTTAGATCGGTAATTAGTTAATAACTCGCTAATTATACGACAAAATCTATAGGCTTCTGGTCCGAGGTAAGATGCATGCACATGCAAAATTTGGAGCAGATTCAACCACGCGTTCGTGAGATATCGCGTTCATCTAACAGACAAACAGACAAATACCTATCAACATACTTACCGATCTTAAGATCGATAAGTAACAATGCTTAAATATATGGACATAAAGGCCAAAACGATGCAGTAAAGGAATCTAATCTTTTACAGTAGACTACCGGTACTGTAGTGTTCAAGACTTCGCCTAACAACTAACGCGAATCGACACAAGGTCCGCAATGTTTAATTTGGATGACATCATCGCATCACACACACATACACAAAAAACAAATCCCAGAGGGACCACAAAATTTTTTGAAATAAGTTAAATAACTTTCCATCAACAACAAACAATTTTTGTATGATTCTAAAAATAATTAACTGGGCATTGCTAATTTAACATACATGAAGGGCAGTTGTACTTACAAGTTGTCTGTTATCAGGAGATTCCTGATGTTCCGCGTCTGCGTTTATACAGGTTCCAGTGCTTAGATTAAAAGTGCTGATTATGCGAGGCTTGTTAGTGAAGCAAGCTTGACAAAGAAAATTGAAGAGACCACGATGTTTGCAAAGTACTCGTCCAACGACAGATAATTCCCGCATGTAATCTTCATCAAGAGAATCAAAAAGCCAACGCCTAAATTGAAAAACTGGATGTAAGGTCTTCAGATGGCATTTTGCGCATATTGCGACTCAAATTGAAATTAGATTAGGACCAGAAATTGGATTTATGTGAAATTCAATGGTCGTGGTGAAAAAAGTTTTCTACAGAAACTCAAAAACCTGAGTTGACTGATTGTTTGTCTCTAAAAGTTTATTATAGAAGGCTTGCATATGCCTAAGTTTTTGTTATTAAAATTTAGATTTTTTGGGAGTTCGTTGTCAGCTATGGAGTTAAATTTTTTTTTCAACTCAAAGTCCGGAGTTGATTGTTTATTTTCCCAGACTCCGCATCAATCCACCTCACTGCTTCCTTGACAGAGGAAAAGAGTTACTCTGCTCTAAGTGTCATGCCACTCGAAATTTGCTGGCGTGTAATACAGCGACACAAATCTAAATAGTTTTGTAGTTTCTTGAATTTCTGTGGGCGCTTATAAATTTACTCAGACATGATTCCGCTTTACTTCTGAGTGAGTCAGTTAGACCTTGCTTTATGGAATTTTTACAAAAATATTAGTTAGACCAACATTTCCTAAAATATTTCGACCTAGTATGATCAATGACTGAGTGATGAATAAAAATGTTCGGCCAGGCCTGATAGTACAATACATAAAGATTATGACCTATTTAACATTTGTTTTCTTTCTAGAGTCCAAACATCAATTTCTTCTTGATTATATGCAAACGTACAAACAACGGGATACGTACAGTCAGATCCTGCAAGAAGATCCTGAGAAACAAAAATCAATGATTTTGTTAGTTGTACATTTTTATTTGTTTGTTACAATACAATCCCAATACCAATGGTTGTTCGAAAGAACAGAATCTTAGACCAATATTAGATATGATTACCTTACTGCTGAAAGCTATTATATTCCATAAGAAATATACAGCATTCCTGTCGAGATGAAATAAATTGTCCTAACCATTGCTATTTACTTTGGTCAATAAGAATAAAATGATGTTTCCATGCACTAGCAAGTGTAATTAACTAAAAGCTTTCTTTGGTTTTACAGTTTTGTGGGAAGAGATTATGCTATTCTTATTTATTTATGTTTATAATACTATCTCGCTCAGTATCTCCTTGTGGTAATTGCCACACACAGTTCGGAATGAGGAAATAAAAAGGACCTGAATTTCAATACACAATAGCATTGTGTCTTGTGTTACCTTACAGTATACTTTTAAACTAAGTCAATAAGGAAAAAAAGATTATTCCCATAGTGTGTGTACCAGGTTAGGGTCAGGCCATAATTTTATTCCGATTTTCCTTATTTTAGTTCTTTAACGAGTTCGGGGACTGTCTGTGTTAACCAAGTGAATATACCCCCTGCCATAGGTTTCAGTCAATTTACACAACTTGATGTAAAGGAGGCGAACAAATTCAGTTACCTCCATATTGGTACACACGCTTCTGGAGCGCCGAAAAAATTCAATAATTTTATGAAACACACCTTGCATATATAATACGGTCCATCATACAGCTGAGCTTTTGATTGCGGTTGAGGTCTTGGCCTTATTTTATGCCAATCCACACTGTCTCTTCTTCTGCACAATAATATGTTCTTATAACACATATGGTTCAAATTTTCATCATACCTGAAAGAGGACGAAATATTACGAAAATATGAGACAAACTATCTGTTTTCAATCAACAATACACTCAACCAACCAATTTTGCAGTCTATGTCTTCAAAAATGGGGGATTCTAAATCTTGATGGTTATAAACCAAGAATAATGTCCCCCTAACATTGGTTTCCAACTTTATTTACATGAGATACTATTTTGTCAAGAATAATCAGTACTTCAATTTGCCAACAGAATTCTGAAGGCAAAAAAAAATCATGAGCTTCTCTAATTCCAGAAAAAATTCCACTCTATAAAACGATTTCTCGATCATAATGACATGCTCAGCCAAATGTCTTGCGCCAATTGTTATTTGCTGATGTCTCAGTACAGTCTTGGTACATTAATGGGCGCCCATAACTTGGATCATAGATAAATCGCCTTTATTTTGAGTGAATAACCTTGATTTGAGCAAATTTCATTAAAATATTTCTTGAATTATCACTGGATTGAGTCTCTCCTATCCTACCTGTAATCGACAACTCTAGATCCAGTTTTAATGACGCAATCTGAACATCCGAGACAAAATTCATGTGTATTATGCAACGGATTTCTCAAATAACTATCCAAAGATTCATCTTCGTCTGGATTCATCATATCTAAAGAATCTTCTGACTGTTCACTGTATGCTTTTTGGCTGAGAACTGAAATGAAAAATTGCAAAAATAAGCTAAAAATGAGTCAATCTGCCAAAAAACATTCGAAAGTATACATGTAAATTAATTTTTTAGAAAAACATGTACTGACATAAATAATTAAAGACTGCTAATATTATTATAAAATTGTCATCCGCTGTAAGAAATGGGTACGAAAGGCATAATAGACTGATGGTCAGAACCTCAACAATGCAGGATTAGGATTTTGCCCTCAAATCCCTGCCCTGCTTAGCCCAGAGTATAATAAATCATGTAGGCAAGGCCAAACGAAAAAGATTCAAGCTCTTCCATAAATAGAAAACCCTTTCTACAAGTGCCATGTGCCTTGTTCTGAGTATGCGCCCCGGAAACGGCATTTAAATAATTATTGAGCTTTAAATCATATTGCACAAATGAAATTGGAAAACAAGTATAAATTTATAACAGGTGTTAGGTGGAGAATTGTCAGTATTTCCTTATTTGCTTACTGCTTCAGATTTTGTCTGGCTTTTGCAAACAAATATGCTTGAAGAAGATATTATTGCAGAGGGAAACAAGAATAGTTTAACCTTGCTAAATATATTTATATTATATTAGCTTCATTAATTAGGAGTATAATATCTTCGTACATCAAGGTATTTTGTTTGAAGGTGTCAGTTGCAGTAACAATTTCTTTATAAACATAGGTATATTAATGCTGATGACAAAGTGCGACTGAACCAACAATTCATATGATACCTACTTTAATTTGCCAAGATGGCGACGAGAAATATCAAACATTAACAAGTTGTTTGTTTAACAAATAAACATTAAGTACTATGAAGCATATGTGAAACGTAAAAACCATACCGACATGCCGTAAAAATAGAATTTACTACTTTTTTAAACATAAGTTTCACCAAAATTTTGAATTATTTAGTAATGAATCCGATTTACTGTTTCAGACTTTATTTCTAACAAATCATATAAAGTCGAAGAAAACAATCAAGAAACGCAACACTAAAATTAAATGTGCCCACTGCCCAGAGCAGCTTAGTCATTATAACAATGACGAACTATGTTGACACCAGAGATACAAGTGTCATTTGTAAATTTCGAGTCCATTTCTTCTTGATGGAAGCCCATTTTGGCGCTCTTTATTCCTCCGTCACAAATCAGTGTTTATTTGTTCTTTAATGATGGATCATTAGCGTTATATGGATCATTAGTGTTATGTGCAACTCCTGCTTAGCACAGCTCGAACAGTTTATTACAAGGTGCCCATATGTATACAGCAATAATAAATAACTGAAAAATATTAGCAAAACTATATCGAATACAAATTAATATTTCTGCATTTCTTCTCCAAAAATTTGTTTTGAAACGCTGAATTAAGCGATCAACTCAAACTAACTTCACTTCGATCATAATGTAAGAAATTGAAGCTCAAATGATAATATTAGACAAATTCGAACATGCTTATGTTATCTTTTCCATAAATCTAAGAGGTTTGTAGAACCCTCTTTAGAGCAAAAAGTTCTCATCAGAATCAAGCACAATAATTTACGGTAATACAAATAAAAGAAAGGCTGTCTTGTCTTACCTATGCTAGCCGCAGTTGGTTGAGCAGCAAGTTGAATCTTCTGAGCCATTTGTGGAGGTGGTGCATTTTGTATTCCAATGCCGATTGCCCCAGGTCCAAAAAGTTGGCTCAAACCGGTAGGATGCCCCGAAGATTGCGGGAAATGAGAGTAACTTGGACCAGTGTGTGAATATCCAGTTGGATCACTCGACAACCGGATCGCTCCAAATTGATTGGATGAACTCATGACTGTGCTGGAATTCTGAATGTTCATTCCAAACGGTGGATCCTGCGAATAAAGTGCAAAATTTTTTTTATTAAAAAAGCAGGAATGAAATAATCATTAATAAAACTCAGAAAATTGTAATTTGTATTAATAATCAGATAGACATAACTTAACATTAGAGATGCCACTTCATTGGACCGATTCCAATCAGATTTACGCAATGCAATTCGGAAATGAAAACGGGTAATTTCCATATGAGAAACAGGTAATTGAGCATTTGATCAGGCATCCAATCTGTCTGCACTCCAAATTACACCAAATAACGAGACAAAAATACGAATTAATTTTTTGCGATTGACTTTTACCGAGCTGTCGTCATTCATTATGAATTGGACACAAATTTTATAACTGTAAATGTTATATAATTTAAGCAAGAAATTGATTTGAAGCTAATGAGGAGGAGGATTTGGTTGTATTAGGATGCATTTGAATAATTTCCAAATAAATGGAATTCACTCCATAACAGAATTAGTACCAAATTTATGATTATAGTAATAAATTGAGTAGTGAATAATTAATAAATTAAAAAAAAGGAATTACTGTACACCCTCGCATATAAGTTGATTTTGCATATAAGCAGACCTCCTAAAAACGACCCCAAACAGCGAATTTTTAAACAGCGAATTTATAAAAATTCGCTGACCTTACAAATTGTACGCTCTTATCGTGAAAACTTGGCATGGTTCAAGTTGTAGCTGTTGAAGTTAGAATAGCATTTCGTTCTGAGTGTGATCAGAGTTATGCGCATATGAGCAGAATTTTTAATGTGAACAGAGATATACACGTATAAGGCGATCCATTAGTTTGGCAACATTTTTTTATTTTTTAAACTCGGCCTATATGCGAGCCTTGCGAGGATATATAGTAAGAATATTTTCCCATCGTGAAATCTTTAAACAAAACTTTATAAGCTCTTAAAATGCTTTTATATCGCATCATAATTCACCTTATAGCACTACTAGAAATAAAATAAAAAGCTATGAAACACAACTGCTAGACCAATTTTAAATTTCCAATACTTAATGAAGGTGAATATGAAGTTGTTGGAAGGCTAGACCTATCATAAATTTTTTTTTCTTCAAATTTTGTACATATAGTCCTACTGGTCCTATTCACTTGGATTTTATAATTCATGGACCCACCATCACATGACATTCGTTACATTTATTTTTTCATTTGGTGCAATTTCATTTATATTGTTACATACTGGTCATATAACTTCCATATATTGAGTGGCCCCCAAAAACGAAATCCAGGTCATTTGGATCATATTCTATGGGTTCCGTTTTCTTCGGGCCACCCTGTATTCGAGCATTGCTCCCTGATCTATCTAATAAAAATAGCATAACGAAATACCTGGTTTCTTCCAGGAGCCTTTATATCACCAATTAACGATCCCTTCATTGAATTATCGCGATTCATGTTGAAAGGTGAATCCCCGGCATGATTGAGAAATGGGGAAGACCCTGGTACATTGGATGGTGGTGATATGAGACCTGAAGTATCACCGCCGACACCAAACGGTTTCCGATATCCGATTGGAGCAGGAAGGCCACTGTTATAGCCAATCCCGTTACCAAGAGCGTTATTACTGCTGCCCATTTTATTGCCCATATAATCCCATAATTTGGAAGCTTGGTTATCAGAACCGATTGCTGTTTTGCCGACGTCATTATTCAATCCGTTTTCATTCAATTGTTGACTTACGGCCAATTTTTGTATGCCTGATACCAAATCGAGTGAGCTGTCCATGTTGTTTCTCATTCCGCCACCTTGTCCGAACATTGATCCAGTTTGATTGTCCCCGCCAGTCATAATCTCGAGGTTTTTTCGCAGAGAATCTGCTATTGAAGGTGGGTCATTTGCTTGAGGCACTGATTGAAATCCTCCATAGGGGTTGCTGAGTATTCTTGATCCCACAGGTCTACTGGGTCCAATGGGTTTTTGGGGCAATCCCCCATTCATAGGCGGGTTTGTAGTAGAAGGTTGAAAGGGTGCCCCCATACCAGGAGGAAAGCCGTGAAGAGCAGTACCCGGGGTCTTGTTAAAAGCAGACATGTTTGCCATCTGTCCGGGTGGGATTGGGGGCCTATTCATAAAACCGGGCATATTTTGCATCGGCCCCGGTGGGTCATTATGCGAAGACTTGAACGATTGGTCAGCAAAGCTATTAGAAAACGCATCAGTTGTATTGGGAAAAGATCGAAATCCCTGAATATCGTTCGTAATTGTTGTATTTCCAAAATTATCCATCGGTGGTTTATTAAGCGACGGTTGTGGCATAGTCTGATTTGGGTCTTGTTTGGAAAACCCAGGTGGTTCCAATTTGCCTCCGGATAAAATGTCATTATTGTGAGGCATATTATTAAAGGGAGCGAAAGGCTGATATGGTTTTCTTGTTCTCAAGCCTAACATCTGACTGAGATTATTCATCAACTCTGTCGACTCTTTATCCTGTTAAACATAAAACAAAGTTTTTTGCACTTTCACGCAATTCAACAAACCACTTACTACAAAACAAACGCTATACAGCAGCCATTGATACAACCTAAATCCATGTGCAGACAATAATGAATTTGGAATCAATTTTTGTTTATGCGTTAAACAAGGTCCGTTCGAGGGCCGCAGTTTGTCAACCAAAGTGGACTCTGGCCCAACTATAATAATTTCCATGACTAAATGACTCAACATAATTTTTAGATTTACCAATGGTGTGGACGTGGTACATATGATGTACATATCATGATAAAACAAAAAATCTATCTACCATTCTAAATATATTCCAAAATGATATTTTCGAATATGGGATATCGAGTACATGTGATATTGGAACATGTTAAACAAAAACTCATATGCATATTCAATGAGTATTGATGTGGAAACTAGAAATTTAATAAATAAATAATATATGCTACTTTTTAAAATTTGAAAATTTCCAGAAGCACAATATCAGTATCATCAAATTTTTGTATTGTATATAATATTGTATAAGTATAGACTTGAGTGCCGGTATATAGCCTACATTTATTGCTAACGACAATGGCAAATTAATTTTGTTGATGATCATAAAATATAGTAGACTAAGACGAAAAATAAAACAAAACACTTTTTTAAAATACCAAACCAATATCCCAAAATAAGACAAAATTTAAAAAATAATTATCAAACTTACCAAATTGTTATTCCTCGCATACTGCATCATCATATCATAAGATTCTTTGGCATTTCCAAATTTAATCATTGCTTTTGCTTTGCATCTCATTGCTTCCTGACTTCCACCATTACTTATCTGAAGAGCTCTGTTAGCATCTTCCATAGCAGATGGTGTTTGACCCTAAAGAGAATTATCCCATATTATTTGGTTAAAGATAAATTAATCATCTGTATTTTTTGGGCTCAGTGGCATGACGCATAGTGCCACAAAAACTGCTAACCTGACAAGTAGCCGCGGTTCCCCTTATGAGAAAGCAGCCCAAATAATAATAACCGTCTTCTCCTCCAGGATAAATTAAATTCCTATCTTCTTCTATATGGCAAACTAGATTCGGTATTTCTATAGTTGTGGCGACATTGCATGTTTGTTGTAGTGAATAACATAGGTAGTTAAATTTGTCAATTTCCCATTAAGAAAGGTATCAGACAAATGGGCTCTTACTCCTTTTTAAAATATGTGGAGCAATTAACAACTTTGGGAATGAAATGGGGCGTTCCGGAAGTATGCGTACTAAGATGGCGGACATCGAAACGTAGTATGTGTACCAAGTTGGGCCATAATTTTAGGTACAAATACTGCGGGAGTCGCTTGGCTAGTCTCCGAACTTGTATTAGAACTAAAATAAGGAAAATTGGAATAAAATTATGGCCTAACCCTGATCTGGCACACATACTACATTCCGGTGTTCACCATCTTGGTAAGCATACTTCAGGAGTACCAAAAATTAAAATATTTTTAAATTTATTGAACTTTGTATTTATCGGAAATTTGTCTGCATTGACTAGATCAGGGGTGTGCAACTTTTTTTACTGGAGGGCCACATACAAGCAACTGGGTGAAGTCGCGGGCCGCACCTTTATTGAAGATAGCCTTCCCAGTAGTTGAAAGTACAAACAATTGTTTATTTTCGCTAGTGATCTCATATGGCATCATCAGTGGTCCTTGTAGAAATGGTGAGTTAAAACGAATAAATTTATGAAGAAAACTGCTATTCAAATTTATTGGCACACAGACCTCGGTGAGGAACACGTATTTATAAATAACAACATGTAATTTGCAACAGAATTTTGCTAGCTAGTTTTGCTAATATTGCATTGGCACTCGGGCACTAGTAGCGTATAGGCTTTTCGACGCAAAAAGATTGGAATTGCTCACACGTACCAGATTAATTAAACTAAAAACTCCTTTCGCAGGCACACTATTCAGAATTGTCATTTCTCCGCAGGCCTCAAAATTTTTCCTTGAGGGCCGCATTTGGCCCGCGGGCCGCAGTTTGCACACCCCTGGACTAGATTATCATTTTTTAATAATAAATTTTTCAATACGTCATTTACTAACATTGTGTTTCCAAATAAGAGAAATATTCAGATTAATTAATCGAATATCCTTCTGGTCCAACTATGTAATAATGTTTATGTCTACACGAGGTTACATAATTTTTAGATTTGGGAATTCTTGTATAAAAACACATAGCCAGAAGCGATTCAACCACCTTCTAAAATAGTTTCGAAGTCGATAAATTTTCTCAATCTCAAGCCGATAGATAACAAATTTAAGCCAAATAAATTAATATATGCAAAATTGTAAATCTCTGTCAATAACATCCTAGTGCACGGGATAGGTAAAAAGTAAGATTTTATTATTTATCCTGGGTGAGAGGATATGGCAAACCATGTCATCTTATTATTCACGCTGCCAGGTCAAGATGTGAACATTTCAACCTACACCAAAAATCACATAAATAAACTCACTTCCAAACTCAGTATATTACGATATTATATTCAAATTCTCACCAATTCCAATAATGCTGATGATCTCTCAACGAGTAAAATGACAAGACTCGAATTATGTCCATTGATACCCTCGCTTTCCATATACTTGCACATGTTCAAAGCTTCACTTAATTTTTGTACTGCGTCGCTAAATGCTGATTCTCTTTTTAATTCGATTCCTTCTTGTAATAACATTTGTTTGATTTGGTTTAAAAAATTCTGTAAAATAAATTGAGAAGATATGTAGCCTATTTATCAAAAGTGTATCAATTCATACAAGAAAATAGACTAAAGGGTATTCCCGTAGTGTGTGTACCAGGTTAGGGTTAGGCCATAATTTTATTCTGATTTTCCTTATTTTAGTTTTATTACGAGTTCGGGGTCTGTCTGTGTTAGCCAAGTGAATATACAATAGGTTTCAGTCCCTTTACACAACTTGATGTAAAATAGGTAAACAAAATTGGTTACCTCCATATTGGTACACACACACTACTGGAGAACCAATTGTAAAATTAGAAATACATTGTAAAGCATATTAAACTTACCGCATATTCTTCTGGTGTACCTGACCAAGGCCTTGGTGATCTGAACATAATTAGAATTTTTTTTTGAAAACAACTGAAGAAGAGCAATGCTCAAATGTATGGATATGGTGTCACCGATACACTACAGCCTGAGAAAGATAGGCAAACAAGCAATATGGAAAAAAAGTGTTCCCATTTATTTAAAATAATTCCAGTGGAATATTCGGTCACATAGAATTTGAAAAATAAAAATAAATGACTTTTCCCATTTTGAAGGACTGAAAATAAAAACCAGAATTTAGCAAAATAATCGATATATTGACTTCATGTCCAATACGTTTTGTAGAACATGGCTCACAACCTGATAACCCTAACCTGGTACACATACTATGTTCAGGTTGTGCGCCATCTTACTGAGTTATACTTACTGTAAAAATTGTAATCCTTGTTGAATAAATTGCCTCCTTTCAGCTCTTGATTTAGAAACTTCAACTTTTTTATTTGCATCTTCGTAACTGAAATAAAAATAAATGTGAAATGGCAGAAGTGAAACCAAATACAAAAACAACATTTTTGAAATGAAGTTGCGAGTTCGGGGACTGTCTGTGTTAGCCAAGTGAATATACCCCCTGCCCATAGGTTTCAGTCCCACTACACAACTTGATGTGAAGTAGGCGAACAAAATTAGTTAACTCCATATTTGCACACACACTTCTGGATCGCTAATTTTCAAATGAAACTATCCTTAAAATCAAAAATAGTGAATATATTCAATTTTGAATCTATTCTTGACTTTACCGACATATGTTCACATGTAAGAGAGAGTAACAGAGGATGACCATAAAGCCACTTAACAATTTAAAAAATTCATTAGTCTCAATTAATGAATGACACCTTGTTAATTGAAGACGACAGGTGATCTAAAGATATTACTCATCCATGCAAACCACATGGAAAAAATCCAGATTTTCACACTACTTAGAATAAAAACCATCAATATTTAGTGTTCTTACCAGTTGCACATAAACAATCCATTTACAAATAGTGTTTCACACATAGCTCAGTAGAAGATGACATAAATATTGATAGAGAGAGACGATTAATCTAATACCTCAAGAATATTTATTTGCCTAATATTTTGCCACAAAATTGATAGCTGATTATACCAAGTTTATGTATGATCCGTATAAATATTAGGTATGTTTTAACTTCATTTTCAACAATATACAAAAAATCTTAAAATTGTAAATCCTAATTGATTGTTCTGTCTCTAACATCCTCATTTTAAAAAATTGATTCCACTACATATGGCAATTACAGGTAACTAATCAATCTGACATATGAATAATGATGTACCTGGCATAAACAAACACAGCAAAATATAATTACTATTCTATTTAATGTAAACCTTCCATCTCCGTACTATAGGTATTAAGATTCAGCAACACAATAACGTCAACCAATGTAACGCAATATCTTTGCCACCACACTCGACTGCCTACTGAGACAACGTTTGGTATTGACAAGGGACTGTATCTGTGGGTTATAACAATGTGATGAAAACTGATCTCTCGCTTGCTGGCCGGCCGCTGAAATACTGAATATTAAAAAAAGATATACAAATATACTATGATCTACATGTTAAAAAACAAGTAAGTAATGATCAAATATATAGAAATGGAGGTAGAATTAAAGTGTTCACAAACGCCATATAAAAAGTGTTCCCATAGATGAAATTAAAACAGCAAAATATAGTGTATAATGAATATTTAAAAAAAAAATGAAAGTAATGGCCCTCTAGCGGCTTCAATCATCTTTCAGAACAAAAATTTGAAATTGATTGGTTGATTAGCTGATTTTTCCCCAACAACAATTTAGAAAACAATCCATTCAAACACTGCTCCATGTCCAATAGCCACCAACTAATAGGCAACATAATAATATAATACTGGCAATGATCTGCTGTTTCAAATAGTTAATTACAGACAGACAAAACATAATTTCTGATACATTATTCTGAGCATCAAATACAATTATTTTTATTTCAGAATAATTCTATTTTAAGACAATTTGAGACGAAATCAATCGAACAAAAATAATCTTGGCCATGAAATATGAAATCATTTGTGTCTATGAACCCAAAAAGTGGTCTCGCTAATACGAGAATTCGGATAAAATTTATTGGAATAGCTTCACTATAAAATAGCATTTAGATTTAAAGCAATATGATACACCAATTAGATTTCAGCGTATCATTAATACAAAATAGCAAAAGGGAATTGTTGTTGGTTAATGACTACAGCCTGCATTCATTACCATATTCTAAATTTAAAAATCCGCCCATGCATATATTAATAATATCAATATAATACCTTCCCAAACCTTTCATTCTATTGCTTAAAAAACTGCTTATTAATGAATAAATATTGAACATTTTAGAGAGCAATAATTTAGATTTTACCACTCCCCTTTTGGTCACATATTTTTAATTTGGTGAATTTCCATTTATTTTGTATTTTTTTTTTTGCGGCATAGGTATGATAGACACAATTTTATTCTAGAAAAAAATAATTTCATTTAAAAATTCCCATAAAAATGATCAATGTATCAAATCTGAATTTAAATAAAACATCTGGATCAGACCAATAACATCTGTAACCTCAACCCCTTCAAGGAATTGGATGAAATTGAAAGTTAATAATATGACTGATATAAAGACACCGATAGTGAACAGACCAATATTTCTTTTTTGCATCGAATTCAACTCTCAAGACTTCTTGTATCAATCTGCTTTTGAATTTACTAAACCAACCAAATTCCCCAACAAGCCAAACAGACCTGGCATCATATGAGTCACATCGGCAACAACTATGACATCACTGCAATGTGTTAAACAAAGAATAAGAAAGTATATCCAACGTCTAAGTATCTATATACCCAAGTATCGATAGCAACTTGATCAAGCGAGAGCTATGAATAATCATTGCTGATAATATGTGCCTACCAAGCGTGTGAAATATATAAGTGAAACATGTCTATGGAGTGTAAATCATCCTTGAATAAGTTTGATCATACATATTAATGTCATGCGTAAAAGTTTGTTAAAATCCTAATTTGTACAGATGGCAAATTAGCAAAAGTCCCTGATAAATACTTTCTTATGTACAAATAAAATAAAAGTTTTAAGAATGCCGTTTTGACCTAACGGTTCTGTTAAATTTTTACATAGTCAAAGAGGAAAAAGATCAAATTGCAATAACCGGTAACAGGCCTTTCCTACAAAGAGTAATATTGCAGTAACACAAGTTGTGATTACTCTTTTGTACAGGAAAAGAGCGGATATTACACTATAAATTAGATACTTGATGTTCATTTTGTCAGAATGATACAGAATATTACTTACAGACACATAACACAGTCTTCTCAAAGATGAATATCAATAACTATAAAACAGTTTATGACCGATGCTATCCAAATGCAATAAAAATTGATTGTGCTAAATAACAGCAAAGAGATTAATTGAAGAAATCGTTGCAGCTTGCAGGTAGTAATATTATGACTCTTTTATTAGAAAAATTGTTTTATCATTAAATCGCACCACATAGCCCATAGGTAAGCTTTACCATTTTGTAACTTTTGATTGCTGTTAATTTAAACAAAAATTCTTTTTTCAGGCTGTATGAATAACATTGATTTATGCAAGTGTCAAACATAACCTAAATTCAATAGAATATTTCACTATTCAAGACTAATTGTATTGAAAATTCATAATATTTTAATAATTTACTCAGAATATTGAATTATTCCATTTCATTTGGTCATTTTATCTGTCATTGACCAATGGAAGCAATTTAACTATTTTTAGGCTACAAATAACATATAGAAAAACATAAGTCACAAAACTCAGTCCATTTGGAGTGACCACCACCTCACTGATGCAACGGTGCACCAGTCTTGAGAGGGATTAGGTAAACGACCTGCTAAATGCTCTAAATGTCCAATGCGTGGTCGAAAGTGAAGTAATTAAATGTGATATAACAATAACCCCTAAGGCAGATTGACAATTGATACACTTCATATATACATTTTAAGCTCTCTTTACCAGTTTAAGACACTTTAAAAACTCAGAGAATAAATAAATTTGAATCCAAGCTGTTCTGTACACAAATATCTATCTAGGACTGGATTATATATTAAATATAGTTACGGTAATAAGAAATCTTGGGTAGTTGATACATGCCAAAAAATATTCTGGAAACTGACGTTCAAATATTTATGAAAGCGAAACAACATTTGGAGAAACTCGAATTTTCTAGAATTTTGTTTCTGTCACTCAAATCAATTTTTACAATCTATATACGGTATAAATGAAATATAGTTGAATGAATAAAACAACATAGTTTGAAAACTGAACTGAATAAAAAAAGCATACAGATATCTGGAGACTTGTGAACTATTATTATGAAAACAAATTTATGACATCAGTGTAGATGAAAATCTTATTAAACAGACTAAAATAACCGACCAAAACGTCTCTTAGGTTTCACAACTTTTATCTGTCTTTTCCTCTAATATGCCCCAATAACATTAGTATATTGAAATCCTACTTTATCATATATCTATTCCAATGAGTATTAGATACAGAATCTTTAAATTAAAAAAGCCAGACTCAGTTTAAAAAGTATATTCAATGGGAATATACAGCAGCAATGCAACACCCTTCATTGAATATCATAATACGACATTAATAATTCATAAGCCATGCATTCTATGTAGTATAATCTTGTGAAGCTATCACAAAAAATCAACCTATGTGTTACTCATTGAAAAATTATTTTTAACAGCTAAAATTTTATTCAATTTTATATTATGAGTATTATAAATAAAACACAGACTTTAAAAGTTTTTCTAAGTTAAATCAGTTATAAGGAGTATAATTTTGAAGGCATTATACATCCTAAATAAATAATTCAGTGAATTTTTAGTCTGACGGTTTCTCTTTCTAATTTAGTGCTATTTGACTATATTTCAGTATAAGTTATTCAAATAAAGTTTGAAAACTTTATTCTGAACAGAACTCTGGTCAATACAGCACAAATTATAACGGTACACCCGGAGTGCGTGTAACAGGTTAGGGTTAGGCCATAGTTTTATTCCGATTTCCCTTTTTTACTTCTATTACGAGTTTGGGAACTGTCTGTGTTAGCCAAGTGAATATACCCCCTTGCCATAGGTTTCAGTCCCTTTACACAACTTGATGTAAAGTAGGCGAACAAACTTAGTAACCTCCATATTGGTACACACACTTCTGGAACGCCCTTATAACTGTTCAATCACCATTATTTCTGTAGTTATTTTATACTTTGCAATGTCCTGAAAAAGATGCTAATTTGACTTTTTAAAATATTATACATTTGAGAATAAAAAATATATTTACCTTGAACTCAAAATGCCAGTATGACTTGGAGATTCGTGATTTTGATTGTTCATTTTATCCATATTGTTATTGTTATGCGGAATTTTAGCATCTCCAATACCGTTCCCATCTTTTTGATTCCCTGGTGGGTTCAAAGGCATTAACGGTGGTAAATTAACGCTGTTCGACTGCAGTGAATTTGACAAATTATTGTTCTGATTTGTACCAGGATTCATAGAAAAATTAGCATTTGTCATTCCATTTGATAAAACATGATTCGTTTGCGGAGGGCTCGTTACAAAATTTGTCCATGCCGGCGTAAAATTAGAGTTTCCAGAAGGCGGGGTGGGAAGGGGAGCGCTGTTTGGATACCTTGGGGGTCCTGAAGCATTGCCGGATTGCACCGGAGGTACTGGCACAGGTAATGAAGGTGGACTAACTGCTGATGAAGAAGGCCACTCATCTGGTAGAGAATTTGTATTATTTGAAAATTGTACTGATAAAACGTTTCCTTTGTAGGTTTCGCCATTGAGATTACGAATTGCCTGAACTGCCATGGACGCCCATCTCATGTGGACTGATGCTTGATTGCCAACTATTCGACATAAAGTCACAGTGCCATATTTTTTAAAAAGTTTATGGACGTCTGCGGAAGAAGTACCATCAGGAAGATTACCGACAGTAAGTTGACAAGATTTCATAGATCTTGATGTTGAAAGTTCGACGCTGATACGATTTCCCCTTAATTCCATTTTATCGAGTTCACGTATGGCTTCTCTTGCACGATTCTCATCTGCCATATGAACAAAACCGTAATCTCTAAGAATATCACAGTCTGAAACTTCTCCGAATTTTTCAAAAATTTTTTGCAAATCTTCTGTTGTCACATTCTCGGCCAATCGGCCAACAAAAATCTTAACCATGGCCTGGAAAGCGAACTATATTCACTAAACATACACGACGATGACGACAAAATTCTGTAGAGAAAACGAAACCAGACCAATATGATATTATCTTTTAACCAAACTACCTGAAATGAATATTTGATAACAATCATTAATTATGGAATTTTGTTTAAACGTTTCTTCGGTAGAGAAATAGCTCATGAATATTTCGAACCGTTAATGAAAAAATCATGAAACATGTGTCATAAAATAAATTTTAAAAACAAAGTTTCTTCAACAGTAACTTTCCATAAATTATCAGCAATTTTTTGTGAAAGAAATTTAGTCAAACTATATCAACTACTTTAATGGAATGGTTGTGTGACCACGGTCCCTCGATATTATTTTTAATTGAAACAACATAACATAGGCAATGAATCGCTTGTAATTAATTTGACAGTTGGCATTCACACTCACCATCCTCACATTAAACTAATATTTAGAAAATTTTTCTTTTCAAAATTACATCAAAATACTGTAAATACACAATCTGTATATGCCCTTGATTACATTATAGGAGAGTCTCGAGTTAAATAAATGAAAAGACTTAACTCGGTAATTGACTCGATTCTACACTTGAATGACCCATGACTCGGCTAGGCTTGAGAATTGGGGTACTTCTACCTGATACTGTTTACAAGTAACATAAGAAACAGAGCCAAACTTCCCCACCATATTCGGGGATATACCCACTGGAGCTTACCAAGCAAAGGACTTCGTAAATTTAAATGTAGTTTAAGTAATTTTTTTTTTGCTCCTGCTTGGCATTATTGATAATATGTTATGAGTGTAAAAAAAAATTGAATCTGTGGTCAAATCATACAATACAACTTTGCAAAATACTCTTGTTACACCATAAAAATTCAAATATATAAACACTTTCATGCTTCCTATCAAAAACTGGTCTGGTGAGGATATAGATTGGTTAAAATTTTAATTCAGTACATGATAGAATTATAAAAACACACAAAAATGTGGGGTATCGCCCCCATATTGAAAGACATCAATTAAAACAGTGAATGCAAACCCACCCTTCTTTTACGAGACAGTTTGGGCTTCCATATCCGCAAACCGTAACTACACATTAAACATATAAAGGAGCAGTTTAAAAATGTCAACATCGGATTCCTTACAAAATAATAATCAGATTTATAAGAGGAAAAAAAATTTATTATAGTATTCCAGAGGATTTAACAAAAAAGCACAATTTTGTCAGATGACTTTTTGATGTTTTTTGAATTTTATCACCAGTTCGAAGGAATCTTCGAAATTTTGCGAAAATAATAAGATTTAGCTTAAATTAAATTTTACACATTCGCACAAATTGAAAAACATTCTTGAAACACAGCAATGGTTGCTTGATTCCATTTAATTACCTTCTGCTCAATATTTGCTGCTTGTTTTTTATACAATTGATAAATTTTATACGACTCATATTATTATTAAACCTTTGTAGCAAGGGTACCTTTATTTTATTATCAAATTTTTTGTCATTTTCAGTTTCTTTTTTGCTTTATACCAATTACAAAAAGTTTTTATCCAATATCCTCTTAGATTGCATAGTATCGATTAACTTTTGGAAATATTCGAGTTTTCATAATTATTAAATAATTTCTATTTTGACTTGAATAATTTTCTAATTTAAGTACTGAAAAAATAGTTCAATTCAATTCAATCGCAACTTGCATCAGCCATCACATGACCAAAATTATGGATTGCGCTTTTTTTTAGTTTATTGCACAACGCCGGTTTTTCGATTTGTGCCGATATGGAGGCCAACACTGTCTTGTAAAGGAGGGGTTTGCAGTCACTGTAGTAATTAATGTATTTGAATGTGGGAGCTATTGTTAGAATACCAGTATCAGAACTGTGCCAAATGAAATATATAAGTTAAGTTATATTTTAAAAATAATGAATTTGCTTTGCATACCTACTCTTCTAGATGCCCCAGACATCTTACAACAGTACAGATTTACTGTAGACAGGTAGATAGTTCTACAGTTAGGGCAGTATGGTGGTGCGCATTTTGAAATGAACACCCACTGTTCCAGAAATATACGACCTTCTGACCTCATATTTTGGCTTCAGGAACTTAATACTGTATTACAGTACAGATTACAGGTATCAAGCTTAAATTCAGTAAAAACAAATATTCCGATGAATGTCTGTGTTGACAGCTGTGCAGTCAGAAGGTTAATCGGCGGGGATTATCCCAGTATTCCGCAGTCTGTTGGCCAAGGAAGCCGATAGTTTCCAAGGCACACGCCCAAAACGATATATCGCGATAAAGCAAAACTATTCCATGTCAATCTAGTGAATATACGGAATGCATTTTTAAATCCTCATACTAAAAAAGCGACAGCGCAAGAAATAGAAACGACTTTAACCACCTACAAACTGCCCCGCCAAAAATATCCGGACGAGGAAACCAGCGTAAGTAGAGCAGTAATGGCGCGCTCAAGAACCAGAAATTTACGGTTTATCATAAAAATATATAGAGGGCGCTCTAGAATTCCGTTTAAAGTTCCTTTGTCCACAACAGATAAGTTAAGCCATAATAAGCTATGAATAACAATATTTGAAGACTTCTAAAATAATTAACAATGATAATTATTAGAAATCCTAACATTCCGGGGATATATTTATCGTAATATCATTTTATATGCACTTAAGGATAAAATTTTGAAAGATTACGAACACTTTTTGCGATAGAGAGCAATGAATGGAAATTTTGTTTCAAGGTATTCAACTGAATGGTGGCACCTAGCGACGTTTCAAATATAGGCATATGTATCCACTTAAATAAGTATAAGTTTATTTAGTGTACAGCCGTGGTTCTCAAAGTGGGCGTCGCGACGCCCAAGTGCGTCTTTTCAATTTTGCCAGGGCATCGCAAAACTTTTTTTATTTTGTGGAATTGTACCTGTGGTGCGTAGAAAAGTCAAAATTCTCGTTTGAATCACACTTGAGAACAGGAGATGAGATGACAATTGTAATAATTAACGGTATCTGTATGTGACCTCACTAACGTCACGGGCCATTTAATGCTGTTCCAATTATGATATCACACACATTGGGTCGGGTCAGCTAGAACCATGCATGTCATTCATATCTAATCCTTTCATGAACATGGGCAGATCGAGCGTTGTTGAGCGACGTTCAGCACTTCGTCTACGCGTTGATTCGAAGGATTCAATATTGACACCACGGCAGTTCTCTTCAAGCATAATTCAAATGAAACTCATTGCAAAAAAGATGTTTCATTAGTATCAAGCCGTTTTCACGGGGAGTCGCAACTTGATCCTATTTTTCGGAGGGCGTCGCAATATCATGAAGTTCGAAAACCACTGGAATACAGAATTCAAGTTGTAATGTCAAAATAAGTGGTACGTGTTCCCTAACCTGAAAGTTTTAAATCAATTCACAGACACACACAACCCGAGTGATATAATGAAGTTAGAAAAACGCGTAAAACTTTAAATGAATTACATAGTAAATAAAAATAAATTTAAAAAATAAAAACTGATTGCACATCGTATAAATAAATTTAAAACCAGTTGCCAAATTGAATGGAGTCAAATGCCAAATCACCCAACCTAGAGTGAAAGAGAGATTTAGTTTTTCGTCAACCAAAAAATAACAGTCATCGTAATAATAAAAATATAAACAAGTAATAAATTAATTTGGTATAGACAGGAGGGAGTGATACGACCACGCGGTCATCAAAGATTCACAATTTCAGATGTTTACATATTAAGATAGAACATTCCAGAATTTAACAAAAAATGGGAGAATAAAATTGGGGAGGGGAATGATATGAGTGCTAGAGTATCGTAAATCATTTTCATTTGCGTATGTGGATTGGGGTTTCAAAATTTCAAAGAGAATTCCAAAAGTTAGCCACACTCAGACAGGAATTTCACAAATAATTACACTTAACAAATTCAAATAATTTATAGCATATATATGATTAAATAGCAGAAATGTTTCATTTCAAAGCATAAGTACACATTGAAGATATAACTGACGTTAATTTATTTTGAAGTTGAGAAAAACAATCATTCTGGCAATATTAGCAAATTTGACAAGGGAGTGGGGCCTAACAAGCATTATTTCAGTTGAATTTTATATTTATTATAATGATAATTATTGTGTTTAAAGAGGAAATCAAAGCAAATAATTATAATAGCATGAATTGTAATAGCAAGAACACAATGTAGTATAGTAACTTCATTATCACAAATTATGTATATGAAGAGCACCTAAGTTGGCTACATGAAGAGGTGGGCTAGAGCTGGACCAGTTCATTCACCGAATATGAGCCAAATTGTCGTCCAGAATACTCCAAGTATTAAATGTTACCGATAACAGTTTAATTAAAATATAATTGAATAAATTAGGGTAATATATAACACAGGGGTAGGCATTGAGATATCGTCGCTAATACCCAAATTGCGCAAGTCATTTTTAGCAGTTTTGAGAAAAACGCAAAAAACTTCCTAATGATATTGCTATGCCATTGAGAGTCAATAATTTGCCACGGTTCAATTTTTTGTTGGTAGCCGGATTTAAGTTAATTTGTATGACGCAGTTAAGTGACGTCATAATGGCGCACTGTGACTTAGGCAGAAATGTGTCTATGACTTGGGGACATACGCAATTTTGCAACCTTATTATGTGCACCAGTCCTGAAAACTAAACCTTCCAAAAACGAATGTAATTTACAGTATCTACAATGTCTAATCCCCAAAATAGCTAATCAGTTTCAATTACATTATTTTTTATGTTTAAAAATATATATTTCATCAATATAACACGTTCTGCACACCCACCGAAATAAGAATAAGATTAAATATAAAGAATAAAACAGCAATGCACCCAATATAAAAGCCAAACAAGGTGAATTGGACTTGGATAGTGAATATCACAAGTGCACGTCTTCCTATACCAGGGTTTCCCAACCCGAGTCCGCGGTCTCAAATGTAGGGTTTTGTTTTTTATCAATTCTAAAAAAAACATCGTGTTTTAAAACAAGGGCTTGTTTTAAATCAAATTTTTTCCTTTTTTTTTGTATTTTTCATTGAAATACCCCTTGCATCGTTGCGAAACTACGCCAAAACGTTGCATTCTGAAGGCTGCACATGCAGCCGGAATTACAATTTAAATTTGTAAAAATTTTTTATTTTGACTTTTACCACTATTGCGTACATTTATCGCCACTTTATATCTCCACCAAAGTCATATAATTTTACCCGGAATGTTTAGCCGAGATATCAGAGAGACGTTTTGAGTGAGAAAAATCATGAAAATTAGCTCACGAGCCTACTACAAAAGCAATTCGATCAAGTGCAGCTTTTCGGCAAAACGAGTGGGTTGCGATAATGAAGAATATGCTTATATCGGCGGTATTCTACCGATATGAACGATGAGACATCCTAACCTAGCCTATGTTAATTGTAAGAGTCCTGAGATGCAAAGACGCCACAACTAATCTATTATGACGCCATAATATGGATTTCGAGGTCATGTATTTACATTTTTCTCATAAAATGAAGTCATATTTACGATTAATACTGTTCGGGTAATTTATGCTTAGCATACTTTGTTTTTTAAAGTTGAAGTGAGTTGTTCAAGGTTATACAAACTCATTTATTCGATCGCATTTCAATTTTCGCAAGGTGGTTTCATCGCAGCAGGGTCGTTCACGTAATGGCTTATCGGTTGCGTCTTACTGCGCCAACCACTGAACTACAGCTTGAGAAGGTGTGCATGAGCCTCTAACGATATTTGTGGCGTTTTGAAAGATTTATTGCATATAAGAAGCGCTTGGCAAGTTTTTACATTCATTTTACTTCAAACTATTTAATACAAAAAAATCAAATAGTATAGACATTTTGAACAAAACAGGCAAAAAAACTCGATTTAAAACAATTGTTTTAAAACAATTCTTTTTAAACAAATCCCTACTCAAATGAGTCCGCGAAGCGTTTGAGTGAGTCCGCAACGAGCCAGAAATTCACTGCGGGCTGCAAACGTTTTTGCGAAACTCAACTATCAGCCAATAATAATACGTTAGAATTTACATAAAACATAAAAGACAAATTTATTCACATAACATTATTCGAGTCAGTAACTACTGGCTAATGAGTAGGACTGGGCATATATTCAAATATTCAACTATTAGAATAGCAATTTACTATTCGAAAATTTGGTAACAGGCGACGAAAACACCTTCCGACGAAAACACGAGTCTGCACACGCTTCGATAGAGTTCGCGAGTTCGAACAACGAGAAATAATTTTTTTTTTGGTAGTTGTCAATGGTGGCAACCCAAATTTTCTGAATTGAAAAGCGGCAATACAAAATACTAAAAATAAAACGGATACCACCATAAGTTTCGTTTTATGATTGTCCGCGGACGATTAAAAACGCTTTTTTGGACATTGCATTGCACTGTATACGTACCAGGGCATATTTCCTCAGGATTCACATTGGTACGTACAGTACTGGAGCGCCGTAAGTGTTGTACGAACAGCTCAGATTTGTCGAATTCACAAAAATACGAATCAAAACAAAATATAATCGGGCACTTTACCATATTGATATTTTCTTAGTAGTATTGCTTTTATTTCGTCAACACAATTGCAGATTGAAATCATCACATTCAACTTAATAGTAAAGCAAGGCGATGAATATGTATTTTTGATTTACTAATAAACTTTAAATATATTTTTAACAAGTGTACTAAATCAAGTTGTACTTTCTGGAACTTTACAGCAGAAAGTAGAATTTTTCTAACGGGATAACAAATTCGCAAGATCGCAAAAAATATGTATCGAAACTAAATATAATCGGGCAATATATTCTCACATTATTATGTTCGCAGATTGCCGTGGCATTTTAAAGAAGTAATGCTTTCATCTTGTCGTAAGTCGACGCAACCGCGAATTACCATGAACACAATAAACTAAAATCTACGCGAAGCACAAGGGTAGTCATCGAATCAACGTCAATCAATTGACTATTTCTTCTATGTTTCGACTTTTCTCTGATTGCTCTGGAGCTTGTTATTGCACCCAGAATTTGTTGTTTTGCGTAAATTACGCCCCCACGTCATACTCACATTTTTTCGGCGAGCAGTCGTTTCTGGCAATCGATTGACCTTCGTGACATAAATAGGACAGGCTTGTCATATTTATTCTATGGGAGAGGAAAGGCGATAATGCCTATTCATATGGCATACAACTGCCTCTCACCTAGTTAACAGTGCATTGGTGTATCCTCAAAACGAGTTTTTAATTTAGTCTATCCCATCCCTTTGCGCTGCAAGGTGTGCTAAGCGAACAACGCATGTCATGAGATCATAACCAAAATTTTTGTGCCTGCAAGTAGGCTACTAACTAGAACGCCTATGTT